TTTAGTAGGCGTTCTTGCTTCCTATTGTAAAAAAAAAAAAAAAAAAAATCTTCTTGATGGTGCCACCTTATGCAAATCACTATGGGTCACATGATGCAAATCATTATGTGCCATCTAACTTGCTTTTTCATGTGAATGTCACCAAAGAGAAGGATTAAAGAGCTTGAGATGAAAAAGGGGAGAGGGAGAGTGGAGAGAAGGAAAAGTTGAGAGAAAGTGAGACTGATGGTGAGACTGATGGGAGGTGGGTTTGGGTATTTTATTTATTTTTACTTTTATGATTAGGAAATTAGAAATTAAAAATTAATTTTGGGTAAATCCCCATTTTGGTCCCTCAACTATTGAACAAACCCCCTATTTGGTCCCTAAATTAAAAAAACCCAGCTTTGGTCCATATTGTTTACTAATTTGGTCTTAAGTTGGTCTTTCCATTAAAAAATCGCTAACATGTTCATTACTTAACAGCTATGTGTCATGTTAATAATGAGACATGTCATCTGTTTTTGTATGAAAGGACCAACTTAAGGCTAAATTAATAAACAGTAGAAACTAAATCAGGGATTTTTTTAGTTCAAGGATCAAATTAAGGGTCTATTCAATAGTTGAGGGACCAAATTAAGGGTTTAACTATTAATTTTTAAGTAATTACATAAAAAATGAATAAAAAAAGTTTAGGTCACTTTTGGGTGACTTGATCCACTTGTAACCCAACCCATTTGGATTTTGTAATTTCAATCTGAGCCATTTCAAATTTCGAGTTAAACCCAACCTATAACATATGGTTCGAGTTAGGTTTTTTGATTGGATCTAATTTTGTCAGGTTTAGTACAAATATATCATTATTGGACAAAATAATAACAAGAAACTACAAAAAATAAGAAACAAAGAAAAAAAAAACTAAATAATTGCAAAAAATACTAACAATCATTTATCTAAAGATCAAAAATAAATATTTTTTTTCTTATTTTGTAGTCAAATTATACTAAAGTATAAAATAAAACCTATAAATAAGGGACCAGTACAACATTAGGAAGTAGAGCCCAACCTCATCCAACAATATATAGGCCAAAAGGGTACTTTACCTATATACTTCTAGTGATTATTTGAAATGAGCCCTTATACTTTTTTTAAAAAAAGTCTCTCCTCATACTTTTAAATTGAATGAAATTAGTTCTCTTATTTTTTAATTGAAATAAATTAGCTAAAATTTAACACATAGCATAAAAATAAATCTTCATTTTGTCATCCCCTTCAAGAACCATTAAGTTCTTTTTGATTTGGTAATTTTAGATTCATTTTTCTATTGACATAATATTTTCTTTTCTTGGTATCAAGCTAGTTATCAAGAAAGAGTTAACCAATCCCATTTAATTACTTGTAAAGAAAATGACATGGCATTAGAAAAATAGACTCAATATTGCCAAATCAATAGGATGTTGAAGGGTATTGAAGGGGAAAGATGGAATGATGACATATGATTATGTTATTTGTTAAATTTCAGCTAATTTATTTCAAATAAAATGTAAGAAAGTTAATTTCATTCAACTTATACTTCTAAGGAAAGATTTATTTCAAAAATAAGTATAAGGGTTCATTTCAATAATCAATGAAACTAGAACCGTAAGTATACTCTTTTTGACTAATATATATAGAGATTCATTTATATATAAGTTTTACATACTACATTTATACAAAATCTTAACCATTGAAAGTAGAAGATTCCTTGTCACACACGCACGCACGCACGCACGCATATATATATGATTTTGAGTTGCACAATGAGAAGCAACTCCTCTCATTCCTTAACCTCAATTCGTCTATATGTCATGGATCTCAAATTCAAAACTTCTAACTTCTACGAGGAGATTATTATCAAATTATTTAAATTTTTCATAACTCATTATTAGCTCCCCTTAGGGGTGTTCGTAGTGTGGTTTGGTTCGGATTTTAACATTTTTTAATCCAATCCAATTAAATCAGTTAGTAAAATTTTTAAAGCAATTCAATCCACTATTATATGATAACCAAACAAATCCAATTTAAATCGGATCGGTGTGGTTCGGTCGGATTGATCGGTTTGGTTCGGTCGGATTGATCGGTTTTTAATACTATTAAATATATGAGACAATGTAAATAAATTTAACATTAAGTGAAAAACATAAATATAAAATACGTTAATACCCAGATAAATAGAAACATAATTAAAAAAAAAGTACAAATTATAAACAAATTCTTATACTCTTTTACAATTGTAAAAATTGAAAAGATTTAGAAATTATAAACAAATTTTTAAATCTTTATCTTGATCTCCAAGAATACCCAAAAGAGGGCTTGCCACCAGCCTCTCAAACTCTTTTAATTCTGAATTTGGATGAGTATTTATAACGTTTTAGAAACCCTAATTGGAATAGAAATAGGATTTGAAACAGAATAAGAAACTTGAATGTTGGACGCTAAACGTATAGTGCTGACACCCGAAATTACGTGTCGACACAAAATAGGAAACAAAAAGTTTGATTCTGAACTATTAACCCATGGTGTCGACACCCATATTATGTGTTTAAGAATAAACCCAGCAAAATAAAGATGACAACCCAGCAAAATGAAGACGACAACCTTGGCAAGTGCACGCCACTCAAGAAGGTAGGGTTTTAAGAATAAAGTTGCAACTCACTTATAAAGGTAGAATTGTAGGGAAATTTGAAATTTAGAATTAAAATTTAGGTACATAATTAAAAAAAATAAATTAAGAAATATAAGATATGTTATTTTTATTTTTAATTAAATCAACAGAGTCATTATCTTGTAAAATAAGAAAAAGAAAATTTGAAATATTATATAAATATTATATTATTTAATTAAGTTATCTTATGATTTTTTTTATAATCAGGCGGTTTGAGCAGTTTGAAAGTAAAACCACAAACCAAACCAATTATATTGGTTTTAAATTTTTATAATCCGAACCAACCTAATTTTATATCGGTTTGATTTGATTTTTAATCAGATTGGATCAGTTTAAGTCAGATTAATCAGATTGGATCGGATATGAATACCCTTAGCTCCCCTAATATATATTATGCAATACATTATAATACAAATCACACAACATTTAGAATTTAATAAAAGTATTAATTTGTAGTTATTGCCACCATAAAAAATATCAAGCCCATTAGAATTTAGTTTTTTTTCTTAGGCAGTGATTGAAAATATCAATTTGATAATTGATTTTAATTTATTAATTAATAAATATTAACTATTCTAATAATTAATAATTATAATTATCAATTATTTTTATCAATCAAATTAAATAAATTAATATTTTTAAATATAATATTTTTACAATTTTATTGCTTGATATTTTTGTTGGTGTTTATGGCAATGGCCGAAAAATCATAGCAAGTAGCAACCACCGGCAGAAACATATTTATGTCAAAACAACCAGGAGAGTGACAGCTAGCGTTCAATCGGAAAAGTCGTCGGCAAGAACGCGTTACGCGGGGCCGGAGTTCTTAAAGTCCTCCGCGGCTCACGTGTTCACGAGTCAACTCCACGTCTTTCCCTTTTTTTTTTTTTTCCTCCTCCTTCTTTTATGCTTTCTATCCCCTATCAATCGAAGCTTTTATCTTTATCTTTGTAAACACAGTCTTCTGTTTTTCTTCAATTTCTTCTTCTGCAATCTCTTTCTGCAAAATCTTCTTTTTTTCTCTGCTATTGTTACTAAACAAGAGGCGCCATGACTGGAAGGGAAATCTTTCACAAAATGAAGGTTAGAGATTGTTTAATGTTGATCAGATGTCTTTTTTAGTAGTTCCTTGCTTTACTTTCCTTTGCTTTCCTTGATTTTCTGTTTTTGGATTCCTAGTTGCAGTTCCCCATATGAAAAGTAGCAAGCTTTTTAGATCATCTTTGTTATGGTTGAACTGGGTCAGATTCATTCCATCTAGAAGTAATTGTTTTCATGATGTAACTGAACATTTCTGAGAAACTTTCTACAACAGATTCAAGTCCGAAATGTTTGAGTTTTTTCTCAGAATGAAATGATTTTTCTGTCTGAAAATTGTATGGGGTTAACTGTTTAGTGATATTTATTGTGTAATGGGAAAGTTGATACCCAACATCGAAGGTTATGAATTCTCATTGTGAATGGAGATTGGCAAAGCAAAATTGAATTTTTAAGTATGAAATTTAGTGTAATGTATCTAAGTCCATTGCATTTTGACATGGTGACCAAAGTTGGATAGTTAGAGCACCAAGCAGTTGTGTGTTTGATACCTGATGAAAGCAGTTGAAACAGCATCATGCTTATGACACTGGAATTTAGGTGTAAATTTTGTTTCTTTGCATGATTAAGAATAGGCTGACAAGTCATAGGATCCTCTGCTTTAAAGTGTTGTTTGTCTTTCTCCTGACAACCAAAAGGGAGGGAGTTTCTTCTTCATCGACCTCTAAAGCAAGGTTTTTATTTAAATTTAGTGAGAAACTAGATGATCCTTCTAACCGTAAGCGAAGCAATGAACTGACAAGTTAGATGATTGGTATCTTATAATGTGCTCTTGCTGTTATTTTTAGTAACTATATGTCCTTGGTTGAATTAATGGTTTGAACTCCTTTGTTTCCAGTATGGAAACAAAAATATTTATCCTTTTTACCTCTGTCTGTTAATTACTAATCAAATGGAATGTAGAAATTTCACTTTTTCACAGGCTACCTTATGATTTGTGTTGATCCACAGGGAACCTTTAGTTTCAAGCACCTCCATTTTTGGATAGTGGGCTTGTGTTATTTCTCATTTCAATTGAATGTTCTCCTTTTCTTTCTAGTTTTTTGGCCAAAAACGAATGTCTTCATTTGATTGATCAAATCTTTATTTGGGGAAAATAAATAGGATTAAAAGTTAGTTGATAAAGGACTCTTCTTGTCACTTGCTGACGGTTAGTTGTTTTTGTAAACATGCTTCTCATTTAAGTGTACACAGCAGAACATTTAATTTGCTTAAGAAGGGGTATCATTATAACATTTCATTTTGAGTGGATTCTTCTCCAGCTTTTTAGTTTTCTCTTAAATTGTATCCATAGAAATACTGATTTCATTGTTGTGCTTAACTGTTTTTATTCTTTCTAGGTGAAAGCTTTTGGTTCTTCAACAGCTGACATCGGGAAAGGGAAAGGCAAAATGTCAAGGAATATAACCCATGGCTTTCATTGGATGAAGGGAAAATCAAGTCATCCCATGGAAGATTACTTAGTCTCTGAATTCAAACAATTAAATGACAATGAGTTGGGTCTATTCGCAATATTTGATGGTCATTTGGGCCACGATGTGGCAAAATACCTGCAAACTAATCTGTTTGATAATATCTTGAAAGAGGTATTCATGTCACAGACATCTGATTTTAATTGTCATTTCACTCATTTTATTCTTCTTCAGCCATAAATATAACTATTTTTTCTTGCAATTTCATATGCATTTAACCGTTTATGGGATCTCCTTTGTAATGCATGTTTGTTCATTGTTAGCAGAAAGACTTTTTGACAGAAACAGAGGATGCAATTAGGAGGGCTTATTGCTCAACAGATGCTGAAATATTGGATCAAACTGTTCGTCTTGGAAGAGGAGGATCAACTGCTGTTACAGCGATACTGATCAATGGTCAGAAGCTGGTTGTAGCAAATGTAGGAGATTCTCGAGCTGTTATATGCAAGAATGGTGTGGCCAGACAACTTTCGGTTGATCATGAACCAAGCAAGGAAAAGCCAATGATTGAGAGGCGTGGTGGATTTGTATCAAACCTTCCAGGTAGTTAGGAGTATAATCTACTATTTTCACTTCTAAACCAAGAATTTTTTTTTTTTTTTTTTTTTTTTTTTCTATTCAAGGATTTAGCAGAGAGTGGTAATAACACAGCTCACAGATGCACAAAATCCTCAAATAGGTAACTTACAAAATTTGCCTCTTTATTTTAAAAAAATTAAAAAGTGACAACCTTATTTAAAAAAATTATACAATTAAATGAATGACTCGTTCCGA